GAAGATGGGCAGGACACCACTTGTTTTCTTTTCTCAGCATGTTACCTGGATAAGACTGATAAGAGGGAGTATTTACAACAGGGCACAATGAGAGTGGGCGTCAGGAGTAAGTGCCATTTTTACTGCATTTTGTATAATTGATTGTATTTTAACTGGTAACTATATTTTCTGCTTTTCATTTGTTTTTCATGCTGGACTCCTTCACGCACTTTAAAAATGGGCTGTTGCTAAATGCTATATATCCAGGTTTGCAATCCCCTCCTTCCCCCACTGCTGCACCAGACCCTCAGGGAGCCGCTCCACCAGGGCACCCCCACAACTCACCCGCTGCAGGCTCCCATGTGCTGTGCCACTTGGGGCAGGCACAGGAGGCAGAGCTGAAAAGAAAGCCCAGAGACCCTGGCTGCTAGCGCAGCCAGAGCAACAGGAGGAACAGCAACTGGGTGGGAACCGTATGTGCCCTCAAGTCACCAACTGGACAGCCCTGCCCTAAGATACAAAGAGAAAGGTAAGGATTCAGAACTGCGAACTGAGCAGCTAGCATGGCTACACTACCAGAGATGGCTCCAAGAGTCAGAAAGCAGTAGGCAATTTAGCACTGGTTATACTAAATAGCCCACTGAGATAAAAAAAAGTCAGCTTCAGCAAGGAACTGCCTACATCAGATCTGGGACCATAGTAAGGGAAGAACTAGCTGGGGCTCAGGCTTGGAAGTCTGTCTAACACTAACCACTCCTTCAGCTGGTTCCACTTGAATTTATTCCCTTGCTATGGATCATCACTCCTGGGGATATACTATACAGCATCAGATCATAGGAATCTATCCACAGGAAATCGTGCAATGTTTTCATCTGCTCTTCCAGTAAGAGATTTGCTTCTAAGTCACTATTCTAGTGGGTCTTTCCTAATCCTTGGTCCTAACTTTCTCCTCTAATAAAGACAGATCCAGAAACTCCTTGCAAGAGAAACTTTATGGGTAAAATTCTTCTCTTTTAAGGCCTCCCTCTTCCCAGCTTTCAAAACATAATAATTGTTATGATATTCTATTCTCTCTCGCTCCTTGGAGCTGAGTGTACATATCTGAAATCATCCAAGCAGCAAACCCATCAGCATAGTTCACAATCACTAACACTGTCACCACTAATTTTTTTTTAGCTGGAAAAGCCATTATGTAGGCAGATTGGAAAGCTGTTTGAAGGTTTAAGAACATTGTTATAACTAGCGCCACTCAATAACTAGCACTACTCCTATAACTCAAAGTTGTTATAGCTAGCATCACACCAGAGAGATCCACTATATTTCAATACTTTCATTTCAATATTACAGTTTTAAATACATTTTTCAAAGGAAGTGATCAAAACACACACTTTTAAAACTCTGTTAGCCCCACAAGTTTTGTAAATGGTACAGCCTGTCACAATTTAGGGTTGACTAATCATATCAGATATGCTACACAGTCATGTCCCAAAGAATTTAGAGACTAAATAAGAAAAGATAAGGACTAAACTGGAAAAAAGGTTTGTGGGATTATTTGTAAGGAGGCAGATTGTTTAGTTTTTTGAAGAGGCGGGTTTTAAGGAAAGATGCACCACCGTGATAGTGCACTGGGCTCCTAACATTTTGTTTAAAAGCTTTTACATTTTCACGTGTGAACTAGCATTTTAGAAGGATTCAAGTTTCAGCCATTTCCTTTTGATAAGGTTCTGAAACCATTCTCTTGCTGAAATGATTTAATAGCAGGACAGCTGCATATCTAGATATAGGTTTGGTCCAAGGATTCATTTTTCCCTTCTATTCAGCCCCGGTCACAGCAGATGGTGCTTCGGTTGCTTATGGCACTTCACCGCTGGAGAACACTTCTCTTCATTAATATTTGAAAGGTTGTTCAGGGTCAAGCAGACAGACACATCAGCTGTCAATATACAATAGTACAAGGCATGGAGGAGTGACAACATCCATGTTCTTCTGAAATCACGTGCGTTTTCAACTTGAAAAACAACATTTTACAACAACACTTTTTCCAGCCCAAGAGTCTGTGATGGAGCAAATCCAATGGCTCCAATCTTCCCTGTCTAGTACACATAGTACATAAACTATTACTTATAAAAACACCTTCTTCCTAATCTAATGGGTTTATTCACAGATGACCATAACTGGAAAAAGGGGAGATTTAGGCAAGAATTTACATTACCTTTAATAGATGAAATTTCTCAGATGTGATCCAAACCACATGGTACAAATATTCATATCCAAAATGGCTCTGCAGCAAGTGAGCTGCCTTCATTATAAGTTTTGCTATGTTTTTAATTACAGAACTCAACAGACAAATGCATTTGATCAATGCAGTGTGGCACAAGCAATCCACTCTTCTGTGGAGTGGTCTGACAGCCAGAACTAAATCTAGTTCCGGGTTTGTTTCATATGTTCTGCTTTTGCCTCTGGATCTTTCACACCAGACACATTTTCCACATGCAATTAAGTAATGGAGAGTGAGTTGTTGTACATGACATTTAATTTTCAATAGCTGGAGAAAGTAACACAGGAGCTGCAGGCAAGATCATTAATTTCCCTTGTATACTCTGCACTGCCAAGTATAGCAACTCATTCTTCATTGTGCTAGTCCAGCTCTTCCATCATGTTTGTGTATACTGTACCCGATACAGGTACATGATCATGTGTACATATTTATGTTGTATGTTCATATCTAGATTACTACAGTGCTCGTGAATAAGCTGCATATTAGGCTAAGAATGCAAAATTACATAAAACATACCTGGGCTTCAAGAGCTCAAAATTAACTGGCAAGCACATGTGAACAAAGCAAGCCACAGCAGACCAGATCTATTTGTCCTGAGTTGATCACTCCAGAGTATTCAAGTACATATGGACAGAACTGTGTGCAAGGGGAAGTTCTTACTCTAAATATAAAAGCAGACACCTTCCCCACAGTATTGTAAGACGGCAGCTCTAGTGCATTAGCCTTGCAGCTGTGGTGGAGGAAATGAAGGCATCTCAATACATTTCCAGCCAGAATCAGAGAGAGAACGTTTCCTACTTAGGGTGTGGACAGACATAACAGCCATTTCAAGAATGTCACTGATTGGGAACTGGTTCAATGGTCCCTGGACAGAGGTGCCTGCACATGCACTGCTAAAGGGTTTATGTAGAAGCCTCACCTTTTAGGGCAGGGGCATGCAAAATATGGCCCGCGGGGTAGATACAGCCTGCCAAGCACTTTCATCTGGCCCGTGGCACCCACCAACAAATTGTGCCCTGCCCAGCCTAGGAAGAGCACACACCAACTGCTGAAACTTCCTTAGTCTGACGAAGGGTTTTTGAACTCGAAAGCTTGCTTAATAACTATTCTCCAACTATTTGGGTTGGTCTAATAAAAGATATCAAATTCACTCAAGGAACCTTGTCTGCCTATGTCCTTAGACTAACATGGCTACAACCTACACCCCTGCAGCATAGTAGGTGTTTGACTTTTAGTGTATGATCTGGTTTTTTTTCTGGTTCTAAGATGGCAACCCCCCTCCCCCTCCTCCAAGGAGTATATCCAAGGGGGGCAAGGAGAGGGACTTCCAGTGGCAAAGGTCAGGGGTTAGGGGTGGGACTTGCAGTCCCAAGATGTTGACAAGAGGGTGGGGCAACCATCAAGGGGAGAAGCTACCCGTACGGCCCTTGACAGCTCACCAAAACTCATTAAGCAGCCCTCCACCCAAAATAATTCCCCACTTTATTTTAGGGATTGCAGTGCTGCTAAAATGCCACCAGGGAGTGGTAGAGTACCCAGACCCTAATGCTTTCCACTAGGGCTGTGCGAAGCTTAGGTCACCAATTCGATTCGGCGGAGATTCAGCCCAATTTGGTGGATGAATATCCGAATCCAAATCGAATCAGGAGACCCTTTAATCTCTCCGAATTTAATTAAAACCCTCCAAATCGATTCGGAAAGATACGGAGATTCGGACATAGACACAGCTTTAAATGTTTTATCTACATATCTTAAGGTACCAGGTGACTCGTGAACACTGAGATGATGGGGAGGATGGAGCATCCCACAGAAGCGTGGTGGTGGTGGGTTGAGGAGTTCTCAGCACGCTTGCTGGCAGACTCGGAAGTGGACCAGAAGCAATTCCAGTCCACTTCCGGGTCCACCGCAGAGCGTGTGGGGGACCCTTCCCCCGCCCCCCAGCTCAGCGACTGGTGCCTCCTAGGTCTTGGGGGTGCCTGGGGTCCCCCTGTGGCTGATCGCCAAGCTGGGGGGCATGGAAGTGTCCACTTCCGGGTCTACCGCCGAGCATGTAGGGGCCCTCCTGCGTTCCTGTGGGATGCTCCATCCACCCCACTATCTCAGTGCTCACAAGCCACGCCTGGTATCTTGAGGTATGTAGAAGAAACATTTAAAGCTGTGTCTATGGCTGAATCACTGATTCTCCAAAGCAGCATCGAATCTTCAGATTCAGATTCGGCCAAATGGAATCGGAACAGTGATCTGAATCAACACGTTGAATCAGTGTCCCGCAAATAGGCCCGAATCCAAATCGAATACGGCCCACTTCACACACCCCTGCTTTACACGGGTCTGTGCCTGGAACTTCCCCAGGATTCCCATGGAGGGGGAAACCAGAATGACTAGATACTAAGGAAGAGGAAGACGTCATTGCCCACAATTGCAATTTTTCTGCTCTTCCTGCT